AAAAAATTGTAGGGAATGTGGAGACTTGTAGACTATCAAGTTAATTTCTTTCTGCTTAAGATATGTAAGAAAGAATGTAAATATACTTTAGATTGGTGAATATTTTTTTAATAGAAGGATTAAAGTTTCATTTTGTTGTTTATTTTGTAGATTGACACCATTTTTGTTGGAGAATCATGTTCGCAAATGCGCGACTCTGCACTGAGTTTAACAAAATGCTTAGCACAAACAGCGCAAAAGACTTTCAGTGATTTTGAAGAAGCTGTTGAAAAGGATGCAACAAAGAATATTCATACTGATGGAACAGTTCATCCTTTAACGAGCTATGTGATCAACTATGTTAAGTTTTTATTTGAGTAAGTATCTAATCGAATTCATATGCAATTTATGTATTGTTGCAAATGAATAGGTGTACAAGATTTGACCTTATTCATGTGCCTTTCCTTTTCTAATTATCCACTGGCTTTTCTAGTTATGCATCTTATGCAATTATTTCCGCCATGTGTCATTTCTTATGTGTAGCCTGCTGTTTCGCTAAGAGCCACATTTTTTTTTCCAGTTGCACTGTTTTGATAACCAGAACAGCACTCGATTGTAGCCCTGTAGTTCTTATGCACCATTCTTGTGAAGATCCTTTTAGCAGAAATTAGAAATGATTTTCATGTTACCCAGGCACACATGCAAAGCACAAAGGTCGTAAAAACTGACAACCACCTATTAATGTCTGTGCAGCTACCAGTCAACTCTAAAGCAGCTTTTCCAGGAGTTCAAAAAGGAAGATGGAACAGGTTCTGAGCTGGCAGCTGTAACAATGAAAATCATGCAAGCCTTACAAAATAATTTAGAAGCAAAAGCAAAACAATACAAGGATCCTGCCTTGATGCACATATTTTTGATGAACAACATTCACTATATCGTCAAATCTGTCCGCAGGTATGTTCTTATATCAAGTAACGCTAGGAAGAAAGTAACCATAGTGTGTGTACTATCTTATCCTCTCTTTTCTGTCACTCAGATCAGAAGCCAAGGATTTGTTGGGTGATGACTGGATTCAAAGGCACCGAAGGATTGTACAGCAAAATGCCAATCAGTATAAAAGGATTGCTTGGTCGAAGGTATCTGTGCTCTGGATCTTTGATTAAAACCATTTACTTTTCTTGCATATCGATATCCTTTCTTTAAAGGCTTATTTGACCTCACTAAATAGATATTCTCATTAGCCACTACCTACCTGTCCAAATACCAGTATTCATGTAGCCGCCAACTGCAAAGTAGATATAAGTAGGCTTCCAGAGACATTATTGGTCATAAACTCACCACTCCTGATGTGTAACATGGAATTGACCTAATCATTGCAACAACTGCCATGTAGTATCTAATACTTGTTCCTGACTGAGTAGGCAATGTTTAGGAATAGGATTATTCTCAACAAGTCAACATTGCTTGCAGCACCACTTGGTCTGTTTGTACATGCAATGTGATAATATCACCTGGAAAATGAAACTAGTATGTGTAGATACTATCCATGTGGATAACCTTATATTTATTTGGTCTGATGTTACAGGTGTTGCAATGCCTCTCTGGTCAAAGTTTGACTTCATCAGGTGGTAGTGGTCAGGTAGGAAGTGATGGTGGCAATAGCAGTGGAGCTTCAAGAGCGGCTGTGAAGGAGAGGTCAGTCTGATACTATAATTATTTGAGGTTTGCTTTCTTGTACAAGTTCTGAAGTATTGTCATGTTTTTGGTTTCTTCCTGTGGTGCTATCAGATTCGGGTCTTTCAATGTGTTATTTGAAGAGATCTACCAGAAGCAATGTGGCTGGTCTGTTCCAGACACTGAGCTGCGCGAGTCACTAAGACTCGCGGTTGCTGAAATCCTGTTGCCTGCCTACCGATCTTTCATAAAACGTTTTGGGTAATGCTGCTCTGACTCCTTGTTACTTGTCGAAAGTTAACCTATGAGCCCAGGAATCAGCTATTTTTTCTGAATGATACCTGCAGTATTCCTTCTACTTCATGTTCGTGGTGCTTAAACATATTATTTTCTGATCATCTGTAGGCCTCTCATCGAGAATAGCAAAGCACCTGGAAAATACGTGAAGCACACTCCCGAGCAACTCGAGCTGCTGCTAGGCAATTTATTTGAGGGGAAACAAGAACGCGCTTGATAGTTTGGTACCGCAACAAGGATGTGATGCTGTTCTATGTAAAAAAAAATTGGACACCCTGTTAGCGTTAGCATTGCTTGATATACAGCTGCTGTGGCACCATTCCTTGTTTCGGTGCATTATTGTTTGTACAGAATATATATGTCAGCTATCCTTGTTTTAGTTCTTAGCAGTGTGCGAGTAGGCTGGCAGTGCTTGCACGTTAATTGAACAATTGAGTTTTAGTTCAGCGTGTTTGCTAGTCATGTGGATCGTTTTGAAGATTCGTGTCTTTTCTGTTACGATGGGAGCTGTAACGAAAGAATATTTAGTGTGCAGTTAGAGTTAAGGCCTTTAGGGGATAGATAGATGCATTGGGTTTGCTTAGGCATGTGGATTGTTTTGAAGATTTGTGTCTTTTTTTGCGGCTTATAAACTGGCTGATGCTGTTTTATTGTGAGAGAAAAACATATGACTGATAAACGGTAAGATGAGTTTAAGCGAACAGGGCGAGAGTGCACGGCCTGTGCTGATTCATTCATTCGGGAAGAGGCGAAGAGCATTGGGTGGCGACCCAATTTTAGAGAGTACGCGAGATGACTTTTACTTACATTCTGCATTTGAAATATCTCCCCTTTGTCATCGCAGTAAATCTGTCTCGTCTGTAAGACTATAAGGTCCTCCTTTTCTTCTCTTCTCTGTATATGTATGTTCACCAGCAGGCAAACAAAGCAAAGTGCAGACCTATGGCACGAGCAGCAGCAACGGAGGAGGCGATGCTGATACGCGACAAGATAAACCTCCGGCGAGAGTCGGTGCTCGCGTCCATGGCCGCCATTTACGGCGCCGTGCAGACGGCCGAGGTGAGCTCCCGGCCTGCAGCAGGCAGCAGCTTGCTTCGTCGTTCCCTCCCCTCTCCACTGGCTTCGCTTCATGTGCATTGCTGATGGGGTGCGTGCGTGCGGCCGGTGCAGGCGAGGACGTACGAGGCGTGCATGGTCCACGACAACGTCCGGCGGAGCCTCAGAGCGGTCGAGCCCATCGCTCCCCGGCTCGACCTCGTGCGAGAGGCGTGTTTTTGCTGACCTCGTTCACTTCATTTTTTTTTATTTTTTAATAAGGTGTTCACTTCAGTTTCAGTCAGTCACCACTCGCCACCGTGTTTGTTTTGGCACTTGGGCAGCAATTGCATCGCATTCGCATCACATCTTCCTGTGTAATACTTTTCGGCCATTGTCTGGAACACGCAAATTTCGCAGGATTGCCGTTGAAAAAACACGCTGTAGGATGATAGAGTAGAATTCATGCAAAAGTGTACTATAGGTGAAAAGGATCCTGCCAGACTGCCAGTTGTTCAACCAAATTTCCTCTTTTTTTTAGCAACACCAAATTCCTTTTTCTTTGTTTTTTTTTAATTTTTTGAGCAGATGTTTTTTTTAATTAACAAAAACTTTTGCCCATAGCCCATCACACTGTGGTCACTGGAGGCCCAGGTATTGAGCCCAATACTGTTACGAACAGCGCCGTTGTGCTATTCTGCTGCCCGCCGCCGCCACGCTGGGCCCACTTGCCAGTCTCCTGCGATGGGTTCCGTTCCGTCCGCACCTCGCAGCCGGCGGGGGCCGATCAGCGGGCACCGCCCGGAGCGGGGGAGCTCACCTATGACAGGCTTCCATGTAACACATGCATGCCCGTGCTGTTATAACCCTAAACAACATAGTCTCGGTTAGGAAAGTGTTATCCTCTAAACTGACAAACCAACTTCAGCCATGACTCATCCTCCAGGCGATGAGGAACCTACATTGCCTCGTTCTTGGCTGCAAGGGGCGACGACCCAGACGATAGATCCTGACCTCCGTCTAGGGTGTTGGGGGCAGCTTCTTCGTCACTCATACTGCTATGCTATGTTGCTGGGAACTTTGGAGCTATGCCCCCTGACTTGCACCAGTAGTCGCCTCCTGCAGGAAGCTGCGAGACTATGGAAATGCCACCTCCCGCCGTCCCGCGCCGTGACTCCACCTTAAAACTCTTTTTGGTTTAATGCCTTTCCAATGTAATCTATTCTCCCCCTTTTCTAAGAATTCTGTAAGTTTTGGGCTACTGCCTTCTCCACCACCGGCTTGCCCAGCATATGTGGAAGCAATATATCAGGTGAGAATCCTTGACCCTCTCCATCATCGACCTAATTAGTCCATGATTTGATAAGGTAGTGCTACCGTAACACATGTGCTAATAACGGATTAATTAGGCTTAATAAATTCGTCTCGCGGATTATTGACGGATTCTGTAATTTGTTTTTTTATTAATATCCAAACATCCCATACGACACCCCATGCGTGATACCCAACGTGAAACCTCGAAAACTTTACCCTGAATTTAAACACGACCATTAACTACACTCGATGCTGCATTCGATGCTGCATTTTGCCAAAGCCTCAGAGGTTAGGTGCTGCACTCAAATATACTCCCTCTTCGGTCTTCGGAGCCAAGCAAGAGGTATGCAGCCCGAGAAAGGTGACACTGAAACATCAGCAAACAGCAGCACTTAGGAGAAGTCAACACCTACCGGCCAGCAGAGGACAAGGCAGCAGACAAACGGAGCACGGCACGGAGGCAGAGAGCAAAGCAACCCTGACCAAGAACCGAGGACAAGATCCATCCCGGCTACGCAGCGGAGGTTTGGAGATCTGGCATCTGAGAGCGGGAATCATTGGGCAAATGCGGAGGAAGACAAGATCAGGAGGTCAGTAGAACACCCGAGGAGTAGGACAGGTAGTGCAGACCAAGAAAAAGGGGGATGAGTAGCTTCCAGATGCACCTGAGCGGCGCCGGCGGGGGCGGCGCGGGGAGCAGGATGATGCCGCCGAAGCAGCTGCTGACCATCGTCATCATCATCTTCTGCACCCTCTCCTTCATCAAGCTCCTCCTCCTCACCAGCTCGTCGTCCTCGTCAGCGGGCTCGACCTCCCGCAGCAGCCCGGCGTGGGACGCCGTCGGCGGGGGTAACGGGACGGCTAGGAGCGCGCTCGCCGTCAAGGAGCTCGCGCTGCTCCGCTCCGTCGTCGCCGCGCGGGCGCCGTGCAGGCTGCTGGTATTCGGCCTCTCCCCGCAGCTCCTCGCCCTCGCCAAGCTCAACTCCGGAGCCGGCGCGGGGGCCGCCACCGCCTTCGTCACAGACAGCGCCGACGACGCGGACGCCGCGCGCCACGCGCTCCTCTCCGGGCGCGGGGCTGGGGCTGGGTCTGGGTCCGCCGACGCGGTGGCCATCCACCGGGCCAGGTACCGCGACGCGGCGGCGGAGGCGTGGCCGCTGCTGCGGCGCGCGCGCGGGAGCCCGGCGTGCCGGCGGCCCACGGGGACGGTGCGCAAGTCCGGGTGCCCGCTGGCGCTCACCTCGCTGCCGCGGGAGGTGCTCGACGCGCGGTGGGACGTGGTCGTCGTCGACGGGCCCAGCGGGGCGGCGCCGGATGAGCCCGGGCGGATGGGGACCATCTACACCGCCGCGGCGCTGGCGCGCGCCGTGGCTGGCGGCGAGGCGGTGGACGTGGCGGTGCACGACGTGGACCGGACGGTGGAGCGGTGGTATGCGTGGGAGTACCTCTGCCAGGACAACCTCGTCGCCGCAAAGGGCCGCCTCTGGCACTTCCGCATCGCCGCCGGTGCGGGGCCGACGGACGCGTTCTGCTCCATCGGCCCCGTCCAGATCTTGTAGGACCGCTGGACGAACAAGGGCAAGATTCCAAGATCACCGGAGACATTGCCATTTCTTTCCCAATCGGGGAACGCGGATGAAATTGGACCACCTCTTGATCGACATCTTTTGCCGTGGCATCACCAATGACGCTGAGCAGACCCTGTGCAAAGCCAATGCTAGGATCTTGTGGCAGCGATGCTCATGCGAAGAAGATCCAGCGATTTTTGCTTTTAGAAAAAAGATCGATCTGTTCATAGAATTACAGAAAAGTCTGTTCAAATCTTTTGCTGAACTAGGCAGTGTTGAGGAGCATTTCTACGCTTTCTTTGTCTATAGCAACCAAATTTATCAATTTATCTTGCTTTAGTGCGTCCACATTACATTATCTTGAGATTGGCTGGGTTTTTTTTCCTCCAGCAAAAGTAGGATACTGTATTACTGTGCCACTACCAGATTATTTTAGTTTTTGTTCTTGATATAGCTGAAGTGGAGGTTGTGAAACATTATGGTTTTTTCATGCACTCATTTGATATATCTTGATTTTAAAAAAGGAAAAAAAGCAAAAGAATCGAATCATTTGGAGGTACACGAGGGAGGAAGATTAAATCAAACTCTAACTGTAGTTTTTAATGCTTTGTTCATGAGAACTTGATTTTCTAAAACCTATAATGTGGACGCATGGCCAGAATTGAGCTGGTGAAAAATGAAAGTGACCACATTTTTTCTGTTAAAATCTCACAAAACTATTCCCATTGACCACATGATAGTGCTCTAATTGTATCATTGCTATCACATCGTTGTCTTGTCCTGCTATGCTTCAGAGGCCATGTTTAGGGATGTTGCAGTGTACTTGTGTTTGCAGATGTAGTCTCTTTTTCTTATCCATAGGGGCATTTGTTCTTTCTTGATTTTTTTTTTCTGTTTAAGGGTCTGGACACGAGATATGTTGCTGGCGTTTAGATTCTAAAAAGTTTGTGTTGCGGTCCACAGTTGTTTGTTTGTTTTGTAGTCTTCATGAATTCAAGGTGTTGTCAGTGATTTTGAAAATAGTACTACTGTTACTCTGTTTATGTCCTTTGCAAGCATCTTGTGCTGGTTTACTAATAATTCTGTATCAGCCTGTCGGCTCGACTTGTCTCGGCTTGTTTCAGCTTATTCTCTCTCACAGAACATTATTGAATCAGCCGAAACCTGCCGGAATCAGCCGGTACACAGTAGTTTTGTGTACCAGCTGAATGGGCTGTCTATAGCAATTTCTCTTTCGTCCATTGTCTCTCTTTTCTTTAATTTGCATAAAAAGTGAATTGTTCTTGGCTTAGGCTTACTGGATCATTCTATTCATGAGGCTGCAGGCTCTGGTGTCGTTCTGTGGAACTCTGAACTTTTAACTGTAGCCACTTCTCCAGTATGCATCCGTAGCACATTTTGGCTGTAAGTCCAGCGTCTCTACTTGGTAGCCATGTCCTCAGGAGGTTCAGAATGTTGTAAGGCTTTGATGCTTGTGTGACTTACTTTCTGTTGCTTTTGTTGATTGACACTCTATTTTTTGGACCCCTCTATTTCATTCTGAGGTCCTACGAATTCCAGTTTTTACACATGGCCAGCTCTATGTGGCTGTCTCACGGTCGACTTCCAGAGGTGGCATAAGAATTCTAATTGAGAATACTGCATGTGGTTCGCAGACTCGAAATGTTGTGTACCGAGAGGTCCTTGATGCCGCTTATGTGGCATAAGCTTAAGACTCTTGCAATGCGTTAGATTTTGGGCCTTCCTGTATATACATGCTTTTGAGAATGTTGGCTGGCCACCTGCGTTTCTTATTTTGCATTGAGCGTATTAATACACATGATGTGTATGATGTGTTTGAACTTTGAACTAAGGTTTCACTCTTTTCATTTGATCTTAATCTCGTACCTGAACCTTACCATGATCTTAATTTTGTACTAATTCTACCTCTCAATCTGTGCCTGCAGATGGGAGACAGGCTGATTCCTGGTCTTATGCCTGGAAAGTGTAGTGAGACCATGTGTGCGTGCCTTTTTTTTTTCTCGATCGGGGTTTAGCCCGTTTTTCGTGTGCGTGCCTTTAGGTTTTGGGACTTCTATGATCCACAAGATAAATCGAGATTACTGCATAGCGACCTGGTGTTGATTGTACATGTCGTCCCTTGCCTGCCTGTAGACACCTATAAGCTAGCTGTAAGATTCAGTATATTGGTGATAAGCTGTAGGATCCACAAATTTTTTACCAAAATTATGTATAGGGTTCTTTATACTGAGTTTACAGTCAGCTGATGCTACCTAACAAATGTGTGTGCCTCTAGGTTGTTTACTATGGAGGCTAGCTTTAAGATTTCGAAACATCAAATAAATATAGAGATCAAGTATATCTAAAAGATGAATGGATGGCAATGGTAATCTGTACTCATTAAAAAACAAAGATAAGTTACATGATATCCTTATGTGTATGCATATGGCTGTTTACCTCTAGGACTTGTGCATCACCTGTCAAAAGAACAACGAAGAGACTTTTCACTGAAGAAGATACCACGGATGATAATGGTGATGGGTTTGCGGACAGTGCTGCTTCTACTGCAGAGCCTAGGTACCTCCTTGCTTCGGTTTATGATTATGTTTTCATGCAGACACCGATTAAACACTATCCAACAGCAATTAATAGATGTAAAAAGAAGTTTCCTACAACAGTTCAAGCTCGTGTGTGTCTGATTTGGCATATTTAAGACCCACACGAATTAGCTGAAACTCAGTCTCGGTAACAACCTAAATGAAATTGTTCTATCTCTAGATTATCTGTAGGGTTTGTTTCCATCTCCAAATATCTCTAACCATACATGGAGTATGCTTCCTTAGAGATGTCATTCAGACAAATCCAATAATAACTGCACACTAAGAGTGTTTTTTTGAATCTATAAAACTAAGAGTTAGTTGCCCACACCCTATGTACACACTTTCATTCCATAACTGACAATACAAATGTGCATGCCAAAATTACAAGAGGGTAACAAAAATTTCAGCAACACGGTTCAGGTTCAGTAAATAAGTCCCTTTTTTTAGTTGTATAAACAGAGGGGAAGAGAGCTCCACACCAAAAGCTGAACCAAACTAAATTTGAAGCGAACTGTAAATTTGAAGCCACGAGAAGCTGAACCAAACTAAAACGGCATACATGAAAATAGAGTGCTTTAAACTTGATACGTTCATTTTCCTGAGCACAGGTAATTTCAGACAAATTACATTCATTCCAAGATCTGACTGCAAACTCAAGTTGGTTGTAGATTAGACATTTATGCTTTCTTGCTACACATTTTTTATTTTCGATTGCTGCTGCTCCCTGTCTCAAGCACTTAAATAGCTTGATACTTTTTTTTTTAAAAAAAAGAGAGAATTAACTCTGCTTTTATGAAGCAAATGGTAGCCATACAAAATACACTGGGGTTACCAGCAACAAGTATCAAACATCAACTAATGCTGAGATACAGATTTAAATTTCTGAAACATCAGATAACAGAATAGCACTCGGGCGAAAGTCCTTCATCCAAGACAGGACGCTCTTCAGAATGTGATCAACGCACTCCTTGTCCTTCTCCTTGAGCAGATGACTCCATTTCTGCATTAAGGATATAGCAACGTATAAAACATCAGAAGGAGCCTTAGGGAAAATTTTCTCAATAGCCATCTTGTTTCTTGTAGTCCATAGAGCCCATGCAAAACCTGCAAAAAGGAACATTAACAAATGGCTAGGCAGCGGCCCCTTGCCTTCCAGCCAAAAACAACTGAAGTCTTCCAGAGATGATGGAGTCCATGCAAAACCTGCAAAAAGGAACATTAACAAATAGCTTGAAACTTGTTTGACTTTACATGTGTATCTGAATTTTCTTGGTTGTTTCCTGGTTCTCTCCTAAAAACGAGTGGAAGAATGATATGGGTACCTTAATTTGTGCTATCAGCAGAGCTTCAAATCTGTACTAATGGGTTTAAAAATAACAAGAAGCAAACAACATTTTAAATTTGAACATGCTTGTCACATGATCAAGCTCAGTGTAAGCACTTGCTGCTATTTTTATTCACCGTGTACCAAAGGCCATATTAGTGGTGTGTCAACTAAGCTTAGATGATGCCAGATTAAACAGTTTACCAAAAAAAATCTATGGAAAACCTATTTATCTAAAAACTAAAAGTACGTATACATTTTGAAGAAAAATATTACATCAACAGAAGTTTTCTGATTCCTTGTACATGTTGTTGAGTTCATTGTGAAACTCTTTCTATTTCTAATAATATTGTTGGTATTGTTGACTCTACCTTTCATCATCTAGGCCTCTTGTTGGCAGCAGGCATAACTCATCGAAATACATAAAGTACACTCCAGATGCACTTGAGGAGGCACTTTGTAATCTATTTGCAAAGAAATCACTGATTGAATAGGGATTCTACCAAGCATCGTGACTAACTGTAAGTTAATTGCTTTTTTTGTTAATTATATGTTATATATAGTTGGATGTTAGTTATGTTTCTAGTGTTGGAGATCCTCTGACTGTAATTCTATTTCACTTTGCTACATGACCTGTAAAAGTTTGCAACTATTGTTGAGATTGATATTTTATTTGTTCTAACATACCTGCTAACTGAATTCTTTTTTCTCAAATTTACATTGAGCTCACAAAGCCAGATGTATTTTTTTTTGAAATGACACAAAGTCAGATGTTTTTTCTTATATGTCCAAACTTTCTCGTCCACTTATGTTACTTGAACCTGTCTGCACTGGTTACCAGTATACATGCTTTCATTTTCCTTTTTGGTTTTGCAAATAATTTTAGTCTTTCTTTACTTTGGTGTAGACAAGTTGGACTTTGTTGTCAAGGACCAGTTATGAAGGAAAATATTCCAATCGCGATTCTAGTATGTACCAGTACCCTACCTGCCCACTTTATTCTTGTTCTTTGATTCTTGTCCTTGCAAGATTATGCCATTAGTTTTTCTTTATTCCTCATGCTATTT